GTGGATACCACAGCCCTGGAAGACCGTGGCCCAGTGGCTCAGTTCTCTTCCCTCCTCGTGCCACCGAATGGGCAGCAGAGGATTCCACTTGATTTGGGAGATCTGGATGGGTTGGGAAAATGCTGTTTCTCAGGTGCTGAAGGGGGATGTTAGGGTGTGTATTGGAGGCAGAATCGAGTCCAGGAAAATGGGACAATTACAGAGGGAAAGAAGGGAAGACAGAAGAAGAGCCCTGCAAGGGAAGAGAAAGGGGATCAGGTGGAGCCCACTGAAGCTGGTTGGGGGAAGGCATAACTTTTGATGATGATGGTGCTGGGGTTGGAGGGGAGGAAAGTGGCAAACAAACCGAGCCTCACCTGTCTTAATCCCTATTCGCTGTGTGACTGTGGGCAAGTCACTTATCACTCTGGGATTCAGGTTTCCATTTGTAAAAAGAGGGGGATGAAGTAGACAACTCTGCTGCTCTATGGCTAGGATAAGAGGGAAAAGGAAGTAAAACAAAGACCTGTAAAGAAGTGGAGAAGAGAAAAGCAGCAGAAAGATGTCACCAAAGTTTTGAATAGCTGGGGGGGAGGGGGAGAGAGACATTAACAGAAACAAGTAGCAGGTCGTGTACCCCCAAGTTAGCAAGAAGAGGGAAAACTGGGAGAAGGGGGTTGGGAAGTCCTGTGCAGGGAATCCCAGGGGCTCCTTTTAGGGGAGATGAGTGGGTTTGAGGTCTCTGGTTCTGTCCAATCCTGGGGGCCCCACCTTGACAGATGAGTCAAAACGGGACTTTGTGCTGCAGCATCACCTGCCTCCTCGACCACAGGCCTGCTGAGCAAGCAGGGTTGAGGTTACAGAGGCTGAGCCCTGGGCCGGCCTCGCACAGGAGGGGGCTCAGAGACATATACATACATACATACATATATATATATATATACACACTGCACCTGAGGGCCCAAGTGGTGGGGAGTGGGGAGCAGAACAGCTGAGGTCAACAGCTTGGCACCCCACCCCTTCCCCATGCTGTACAGAGAGAGCACCAGTCTGAATCTAGACCCAGGCGGGGGAGGATGCAGATGCGTCAGGCCAAGGATTTAGTTGGCCTTTCTCATACACACACCACTGGTGGGAATATAAACCGATACATTTGCTAAAGAGGTTATGTCAGTAATATGCGCCAACATTACAAATGATACCTATTTAGTGACCCCACAAATCCTCTTCCAGGGACTTTAAAAAAAATATGTTATTTATTTATTTGCCAGAGAGATCGAGGGAGAGCACAAGCAGAGGGTGCAGCAGGCAGAGGGAGAAGCAGGCTCCCCGCTGAGCAGGGAGCCCGAAGTGGGGCAGGATCCCAGGACCCTGGGACCACAACCCGAGCCAAAGGCAGATGCCTAACCGACTGAGCCACCCAGGTGCCCCTAAAATTTATCATTTTAGCCATTTTTAAGTGTGCATTTCAGTGGCATTAAGTACTTTTACAATGTTGTACAACCATCACCACTATCTAGTTCTAGAAGTTTTTCTTCACTCCAAAAGGAAACTGCCCAACAAGCAGTTATTCCTCATTCTCCCCTCTTCCTCAACCCCTGGCAACCACCATCTATTTTCTGTTTCTGTGAATTTGTCTAGTCAGAAGAGTTCACATGAACGGAGTCATACAATGTGTGGTCTTTTGTGACTGGTTTTGTTCACTTAGCATTGCGTTTTTTTTTTTTTTTTTAAGATTTTATTTATTTATTTGACACAGAGAGAGACACAGCGAGAAAGAGAGCACAAGCAGGGGGAGTGGGAGAGGGAGAAGCAGGCTTCCCGCCGAGCAGGGAGCCCGATGCGGGGCTCAACCCCAGGACCCCCGGGATCATGACCTGAGCCAAAGGCAGACGCTTAACGACTGAGCCACCCAGGCGCCCCTTAGCATTGCGTTTGCAAGATTCATTGAATCAGAGCATGTGTCAGGACTTCGTCCCTTTCTATGGCCAAATAATATTCCATTGTGTGGTTATAGCACATTTTGTTCATCCTTTCATCAGCGGATATGTTTCTACCTTGAGGCTATTGTGAATGGTACTGCTATGAACGTTCATGCACAAATTTTTGTTTTAATTAACTTACTGAGGATTTATCAAACTGTGTTGCACCATTTTACATTCCCACCAGCAATGTATGATGGTTCCATATTCTCCACATCCTCTTTTTCTATTTAAAAAAAATTTTATTATAGCCATTTACTGGGTGTGAAGTGGTATCTCACTGTGGTATTTCCCTGATGACTAATGGTGTTGTGCATCTTTTTCTGTGCTTGTTGGCCATCTGTCTATCTTCTTCAAAGAAATGTCTACGTAAGTCCTTTGCCGTTTAAAAATGGGGTGGTTTGCCTTTTTGTTGTAAGAGTTCTTTATATATTCTGGATACTTACGAGATATATGATTTGCAAATATTTCCCCCCTTTCTATAGCCTGTATTTTCATTCTCTCCATAGTGCTTTTTGATGCACAGAAGTTTTGTATTTATATATTTATATTTTTACGAAGTCCAATTGACCTATTTTTTGTTGTTGTTGCTTGTGTTTTTGATGTCATCGTTAAGAATCCATTGTCAAGTCCAAGGCCACAAAGATTTACCCTTCCATTTTCTTTTCTTTTTTTTTTTTTTAAGATTTTTATTTATTTATTTGAGAGAGAGAGACACAGCGAGAGAGGGAACACAAGCAGGGGGAGCGGGAGAGGGAGAAGCAGGCTTCCCGCGGAGCAGGGAGCCCGATGGGGGCTTGATCCCAGGACCCTGGGATCATGACCTGAGCCGAAGGCAGACGCTTAACGACTGAGCCACCCAGGCGCCCCGTACCCTTCCATTTTCTTCAAAGAACTTAGAGTTCAAGGACTTACATTTAGGTCTTTGATCCATTTTCAGTTAATTTTTGTATATGTTGTGAGGTAGGAGTCCAGCTTCCTTCCTTCACATGTGGATAGCCAGTCATTCCGCACCATTTGTTGAAGACTGTTCTCTCCCCATTGAATAGTTTGGCACCTTTGTTGAAAATCAGTCGGCCATAAATGGATGGATTTATTTCTGGACTCTCGATTTTATTTCATCGATCTATATACCAACCCTTATGCCAGTACCCCATTGTCTTGATTACTGTAACTTTCTAGTAAGTTTTGCAAGTGAGAAGTGAGAGTTCTCCAACTTCATTCTTTTTCAAGATTGTTTTGGCTGTTCAGGGTCCTATGCAATTCCATAGGAAGTATAGGATCAGCTTTTCCATCTCTGTAAAAAGAGGCCATTGCAATTTAACTTTTTGATTTTTAAAAAAGATTTATTTATTTATTTGAGAGAGAGCACATGCGCATGCAGGGGAGAGGGGCAGAGGGAGAGAGGGTGTCAAGCAGACGCTGTGCTGAGCACAGAACTGGAGGGACTTGGAGCTTGATCTCACGACCCTGATATCAGGACCCAAGCCGAAAACCAAGAGTCAGACACTTAACCGACTGCACCATCCAGGAGTTCCCTTAACTTTTTGATTTTTGAAGCCTGGTTATGGCTTGCTTACTCAAACTGTTAATTAATAAGTTTTTAACAATCAGACATTTGCCTAGTTCTCCCTAGAGGTCATTCCAGGAATTACCCTGCCTTCAGGCTCTTTCTTCAATCTGTATTTGCAAAGTACAAGAAAGAGAAAATTTTACCAACCGTGGCTTGCCTTCCTCCATTATCCCAGACCTTTAGAAAGTTTTCTTATGGTCTAATCTTTATTCCTTTTGCTACCATGTCAGCTACCTTCCCTGCCTCTTTCACACACTCCTTCATCAGCTTCAGCCTTCCTTCCTCTCATTCCTATTCCCTGACTTTCCTCCCTTAAATTTAGAACCCTTGATCCTCTTCATTTGTTTATTTTTTTAATGTTTTCTTTTCTCTCTCTTTTTTTTTTTAAGATTTCATTTCTTTATTTGAAAGAGAGAGAGACAGAGACAGAGACAGAGCATGAGCAGTGAGGAGGAGGCAGAGGGAGAGGGAGAAGCAGACTCCCCGTTGAGCAGGGAGCCTGACATGGGGCTCAGTTCCAGGACTCTGAGATCATGACCTGAGCCCAAGACAGACGCTCAACCTACTGAGCCACCCAGGCGCCCCTGTTCTTTCATTTAGAATCCAAGATTATGAAAGCTGCAAGGGCTGTCAGATTATTTATTTAACTCTCTCTCTTTACAGATGTGGAAACTAAGGCCCAGAGAAAAAGTCTGACCTGCCATACAGCCAGTGAGTCACTGAAGCAGGACCAGAACCTGGTCTGTTTCCTGTTCAGTTCTGTTTCCACTGTGGCTTTGAATCTTGGTCAATAGACCTGGGTGGGTGTAGACCTTAGTGCTTCTGGGCCTAGCCTCCAGACTCTTGTTAGGCCATTTTGCCCACCTTGGCCTAGTAAAATCTGCACACAGGCGGGACGGAGCTTCTCTGAGGCTCCTACCCAGGTGTGGTAGCTGCCTCTTCCTGACACTTTAAAGAAACCGCTGAATCCACAGGGAGACTATCAGGGGAGATAAAGAATTGGGGTAAAAAAAAAAAAAGAATTGGGGTAAAGCTTTTTTTTGTTTTGTTTTGTTTTCTTAAGTAAGCTCTACACCCAAGGTGGGGCTTAAACTCATCACCCTGAGATCAAGAGTTGCATGCTTTACCGACTAAGCCAGGCAGGCTCCCCTGAGGTAGAGTTTTGAGAGTGACAACCACAGGCTAAGTTTAGAGGACTGAGAGCTTGGAGGTCCTCCCTAAGGACCCACGTGTCCCCTTTTATATCCTATTGCAGGCCATGGTGGCTTTGTCCATGGTCCTTGTTTTCCTGTTGGTCCTGAGCAGAGGGGAGAGTGAATTGGATGCCAAGATCTCATCCCCCAAGAAGGCCACAGAATGGAGGGATCCCGAGCCATCCCTGCAGGGGTCCTGCCAGCCTGCCTCCTCCTGCCAGGAATGCATCCTCTCACACCCAAGTTGTGCATGGTGCAAGCAACTGGTAAAGATGAGCCTGTGGCCTTTGAACCTGCGTATGTGTACGTGCAGAACGGAGCTACGTGTGTGATTGTGGGGGCAAATGTGTGGTTTTCTGGGCGCACTCTGCAGTTCCGTGTGCGACTGAATGTGCGCACACAGGACTCCTGTGTGTGATTGTGTGTGTGTGTGCATACACATGCTTGCCAGGTTCCTGTGTGTGTATGCTTACGTATCTGTGTATTTGTGTATCTTTGGAGAAGACATGTGACCATAAATTTGGAGAAGTTATGTCCTCGCTGGAACTCCCGCTTGTGCAGAGGTAGAAGGAGCTGCGGCACTTGTATACATGCGAGAAAGTGTATTTGTCAGCTTGGGCGGCATAACAACATACCACAGACTGCTTGGCTTAAGCAACAGGAATTCATTTCTCACAGTTCTGGAGGCTAGGAATCCAAGATCAAGGTGCCAGCCCATTTGGTTCCTCGTGAGAGCCCTCGTCCTGGCCTGCAGTCGGGCTGTAGACAAGCTCTGGTGCCTCCTCTTATAAGGGCATTAATCCCATCGTGAGGGCTCTCCCTTCATGATCTCAGCTAACCCTAAGTTCTTCCCAGAGGCTCCATCTCCACATGCCATCATCACATTGAGGGCTAGTCCCTAGCAGAAAGTGTGTGACTGGGTTTCTGAGTCTGTGTTGGGCATGCGTGTGCATAACGTTCCTAAGGTATGTAGCTTCCTGTGGCTGGGACAGTAGAAGGGAAGGAGGTAGAAGTGTGTAGGCTTTGGAGGACAGGTTTGATCTACCTAAGTGGCCAAGGAGGATGCTGGGGAGTGGGTGTTTCCCTGGCTGGTCAAACAAGGCGGTTCTTTGTTTGTGCCTTAAAGAGACAGGGCTCATGGAGTGGCAGAGCATGGTGGGTACCTGAGCTGGGGGTGGGGGCAGAACTGTCTCTCCCACAGGAAGACGGAGAGTTAGATCAGAGATGAGGGCAACCTCGCTAGAAGGCAGAGCCACAGAAGCTGAGCGGAGGCTGAGCCAGCCCAGGAGAAAGGCATGTTGTGAATCTGGGAGGACCGGAAGAGGAGATTCCGAGTCAGCACCAGGCAGAGAGCAGGGAGGTGCCAGGCAGACAGGCAGATATGTGTCTGCCTCCTTCAATCTCTGGGCCTAAGGCAGGCACCTGGGCCAGCTGAGAAGCCATTGTAACCATTTCCTTCCTGGGCCACTTTCCAGCCAGTCCCAGAGGTACCAGACACACTGGGGTGGGATGTGTGGGGGAGAGTCTCCTCTTCTGTCCCGTCCTTCTGTCCCTGTCCTTCCCCTTCCCGGGGAACTTAGCCTGGGTCTTACTTAGCCTGACCCGCTTTCCCGTTCTGGCCTGGGCATGCAGGAGAGGTTGGACTAGGAGGCCAGGCTCCTCCTTTTCTTGTGGTAGTGAGGTCCCTGAGATCTCAACAGGAAGTCTGTGGCCCTGGGGTGGGGGTGAGGGTGGGGGGAGGAGAAGGTAGATGGCTAGGGCAAGGGGGTTATCTAGATAAGCAGCGGGGAGGTGGGGTGCTAGAGGAAGTGGGCTCTGACCAGAAGGACAGGACCAGGTTGGAGGGGGCTGTGGGGGGGCCGGGGAGGGGAGGGCATCCGCGGGGCTCAGGGACCTGTGGGGGGGTGGTTGGGAGCGGCCTGGATCGCAGGGGCTGGGGGGGGGGTTCCCTGGGGGACCAGAGTCCCGACGCGCCTCCCCTTGGGCTCAGAACTTCACCGCGTCGGGGCTGGCCGAGGAGCGGCGCTGCGGCCGGCGACAGGAGCTGCTGGCCCGCGGCTGCCCCCCGGGGGAGCTGGAGGAGCCCCGCGGCCGGCTGGAGGTGCTGCAGGACCAGCCGCTGGGCCCGGGCACCCGCGGCGAGGGGGCCACGCAGCTGGCGCCGCAGCGGCTCCGGGTCACGCTGCGGCCCGGTGAGTCCCCCCGGCGGGGCGGGGGTGGGGGGGGCGGCGGGGGGTGGGGGGGCCGGGCTGACGCCCGCCCGCCCGCCCCGCAGGGGAGCCGCAGCGGCTCCGCGTGAGCTTCCTGCGGGCCGAGGGCTACCCGGTCGACCTGTACTACCTCATGGACCTGAGCTACTCCATGAAGGACGACCTGGAGCGCGTGCGCCAGCTCGGGCACGCCCTGCTGCTGCGGCTGCAGGAGGTCACGCACTCGGTGCGCATCGGTGAGCGCCGCGCCGCCCCGCCCCGCGCCCCGCCGGCCCTCGGCCTCCCCCCTGCAGAAGCCCGGGGCCCTACCCGCCCTCTCCCAGTTTTTAACAGACCTGCCCAGGCCACACGTGTCGGCGTCTCTTCCCCAAGACGGTCCTCTTCCAGGACGGCGCTGGAGGGGATTTAGGAGACTGTCCAGTAGGAGCACTCATTCTACAGGAGGGACATGACTGAGTCCCAGAGTCTGGCCAGACGGGGTTCAGACAGCTCCCAGGGGTCAGACAGTGCACCCTGGATCTACCAACCCAGATACTGCCCTGACGCCTGCGTCTCAGCCCTGTCTGGGTCTCTCGGACAAGGGCTAAAGGCCACTGTCCCTGGCTGCGCGTTCTGCGCTCGCATCTCCCTGGCTCAAGATGCCCTCCTTTGCCTCCCGCTACACCCTACACCCTCTCCTTCTTCCTCCGGAGACCCTGCCTGACCTCCACTGTGTCCTCCGCTTGATCCCCTCCTGCCCCCACTGCCCTGAGCCAGGGATCCAACCCCTTTGCCCCGGCCAGGTACTCGGTCCCTGCGCGCCAGGAGCACTGGCTCTCCTTATCTTCTCTACTCCTCTGTGACAGTCCCCCTGACCGCGCCCCACTGCTTCCCATGGACCTCTGCCTTCTGAGTCCTCAGCAGCGGCCCTTCCACCCGGCTGCCGGCCAGTGACTTCTGGCACAGCCCTCATGATGCCCCCCTCCCAGGCTTTGGCTCCTTCGTGGACAAAACGGTGCTGCCCTTCGTGAGCACGGTGCCCTCTAAACTTCGCCACCCCTGCCCCACCCGGCTGGAGCGCTGCCAGCCCCCCTTCAGCTTTCACCATGTGCTGTCCCTGACCGGGGATGCGGAGGCCTTCGAGCGGGAGGTGGGGCGCCAGAACGTGTCTGGCAACCTGGACTCCCCCGAAGGTGGCTTCGATGCCATTCTGCAGGCTGCACTCTGCCAGGTGAGGAGGCGGGGAGGGCATCTGAGTCTGAGGCACTGTTTGGGGCCAAGACTGCCCCCTAGGGTCGTGCAGTGCCCAATTCTAGGGGTGCCCTTTGTACCATAGTTCCTGTAGTTTGCATATTCATTTTAAACAATTACCTGGTGGATTGGAGTCCAATATGTTGAGGAAGAGGCATGGCTTTCTAATTCATAAGAAGGCCTCTGCTAGCAGCAACCCTGTTTGGGGGGATACTGGAGACAGGGGAATACTCAAACTGACTCAGAATGAGGCTGGCAAATCCGTGGCTCGTGGAGCCCAGGGGCACAGCCTACGTCCAACCCCCAACCCCAGGAGCGGATTGGCTGGAGAAATGTGTCCCGGCTGCTGGTGTTCACTTCAGATGACACATTCCACACGGCTGGGGATGGGAAGTTGGGTGGCATTTTCATGCCCAGCGACGGGCACTGCCACTTGGACAGCAATGGCCTCTATAGTCGCAGCCCAGAGTTTGTGAGTCCCCAGCCTTGCCCCACCCCTCCCTAGCTGAGCTCCCCCTTCCTCTACGCCCAGGACCCCCACCCCTACCTCCTTCTCCTTACCAGTGTCCGCCCTGCTCTCTCCCCCAGCAGCTCCTCTTCTCCATGTCCCCCCACTGCTCAGACAGAAACCTGTGTCACCCCACTCCGAGCCCCTCCCTCCTCCTTGCTGAGCCTCCGGGGTTCCTCTAGCTGGTAGAACCCTGGTTCCCGGATTTCCTGGGCGGAGGGCACCTTGGATGTTGTGGGGGAGAGCGGCGGTGCTCACCTTGTCCCCGCTCCCCTGCCCAGGACTACCCCTCTGTGGGTCAGGTAGCCCAGGCCCTGTCTGCGGCAAACATCCAGCCCATTTTTGCTGTCACCAGTGCCACGCTGCCTGTCTACCAGGTGAGAACTGGCTGAATGCCAGACCTTCCCGCCACGAGCCTTTCTCAACTCCCTCAAAGACCCATTCTCTAACTTCCTGTACGCCCTCGCCCTCCTTCCAGACCCCCCAGAAGCCCACTTCCCTCTAACTGTGACCCACCATTTCTCTCGACTCCTCATAACCCAGGAGCTGAGTAAGCTGATTCCTAAGTCTGCAGTGGGGGAGTTGAGCGAGGATTCCAGCAACGTGGTGCAGCTCATCATGGACGCTTATAATGTGAGGGGCTGGGACTGGGCAGCATGGCGAGGGCGGGCACCGGAAAGGGGCCCTCAGGGGAGGTGGCAGAACTAAGACAGACTGATCACTGTTTGGTGTAGCTCTCCACAGCTCCTACCTACAGTTTGCCTATGGCTGTCATTCATCGTTCACTCACCCAGTCTGACTTTTTTTTTTTTTTAAGATTTTATTTATTTATTTGACAGAGACAAAGTGAGAGAGGGAGCACAAGCAGGGGGAGTGGGAGTGGGAGAGATGCGGGGCTCAATCCCAGGACCCTGGGATCATGACCTGAGCTGAAGGCAGACGCTTAACCATCTGAGCCACCCAGGCACCCCCAGTCTGACATTTGTAAATCTGGTGTCTGGCTTGCGCAGAGCACGGAGCCCTGCTCTGGGCAAGGAAGGAAAGGAACATTCATTGAGTTGGTATTTCGTGCCAAGCACTGTCCTAAGTGCACGTGCTGTTTGCCATCTCATTTACCCCACTAAACCCCTGTTTGCTAACGATTAGCATCCCCATTTTATAGATGGGGATATAGACACAGGAGGCTGAAAATAGATAATAGACAGAAGGGCTGGCATTCATGCCCCAGTCGATCCATACATAAAGAAACATCTGGAGCCTACTTTCACTGAGCTTACAAATAATTCAGAGACATTCTTCACAGGAACCACAGAATTTTACAGGTAGAAGGAACCATAAAGATCCTTAAGTGTTTCTTGGGCTTAGCTCTGTAGCCATGCCGTAGACTTCTTATGACAGGGATCACATCCTAAAGCCACGGTGAGAAAAATCTGAGACAGTATCCAATTTCCCAGGGCAAATTCAATTGAAAGACTCTGCCCTTGAGCCCTTTACGTGCACAGATTATATATCCTGATTTGGGGTTTGAGAAGCAGCCGCTGCACGTTGCAAGGGGCCCCACGGTGGGCCGAGGGCAAGGTTATGGCGGAATTTGAAATGGCTGGAGAGGGCACGAGGTGGGGTTGGAGTCCTGCCTTCACGTGGTTACTCACTGTCTCCCTTCCACAGAGCCTGTCATCCACGGTGACCCTCGAACACTCTCCACTCCCTCCGGGGGTCCACATCTCATATGAATCTCAGTGTGGGGATCCTGAGAAGAGGGAGAGTGAGGCTGGGGACCGGGGCCAGTGCAACCACGTCCGAACCAACCAGACGGTGAGAGCCAGCCGAGATAGGCAGAAGGAAGGAAGTGGGGGTGGGGGAGGGAAATTGAAGCAGGCAGGAAAAGATGGGGGGCAGACACAGAGAACAATGCAAAAGCATGGGGTAGTTCTCCATCCATCCTTTCTAAAAGGGTTTAATGAGTGTCTTCCTCCAGTGGGTGTCTAAGAGATGGGTGTTAGCATGATCCTATCCCTTAATTTCTTAAGGAATAGGTTCTGGAGGATCAATAGGTTTGGGGTGTGTGTGTGTTTTGGGGTGTGTGTGTGTGTGTGGACACAGGACCTTAAGTCTGATTTCTGCCCACATTGTCCTCAGGTGAATTTTTTTGGTGTGTGTGTGAGTGTGTGTGTGTGGACACAGGACCTTAAGTCTGATTTCTGCCCACATTGTCCTCAGGTGAATTTTTTTTGGTGTGTGTGTGTGTGTGTGTGTGAGTGTGTGTGTGTGGACACAGGACCTTAAGTCTGATTTCTGCCCACATTGTCCTCAGGTGAATTTTTTGGTTACTCTCCAAGCTACCCGCTGCTTCTCAGAGCCCCATCTTCTGAAGCTGCGAGCCCTTGGCTTCTCAGAAGAGCTGATTGTGGAGTTGCACACGCTGTGTGATTGTAACTGCGGGGACACCCAGCCCCAGGCTCCCCACTGCAGTGATGGCCAGGGGCTCCTACAATGCGGGGTATGCAGGTGAGGCTCCAGCTTCCTTTCACCCATGTGGCTCCCCACACATGACTGAGCCCGATGTTCTTCTTCTCCCTTCTATCCTCCCACTGGCGTCTCTAGACATCTTTTTCCAGCCATCCCAAGACTCCACCCCGATTTTCATCTGAAGCTTCCCAGATATGCCAAGACCCTCCCCTCCACCAGAACCCCCTCCACTCTTCTTCTTGGCGCTCAACCATACACCAGCATCCCTCCAGCCACTCATCTCTCTTCAACTCTTTTGAGAGCTTAGGTTTAGAGGATCCTGGGAAAGATAGGTCAAGGGATGGTCAAACCCTCTGACCCACCTTCCCGTTGCCTGGCTCTGCCTGACTCGGCCTCCGCCTTCCCCTCCCAGCTGTGCCCCCGGCCGCCTGGGTCGACTCTGTGAATGCTCTGAGGCTGAGCTGTCCTCCCCGGATCTGGAATCTGGGTGCCGGGCCCCCAACGGGACGGGGCCCTTGTGCAGCGGGAAGGGACGGTGTCACTGTGGACGCTGCAGCTGCAGTGGACAGAGCTCCGGGCGTCTGTGCGAGTGTGACGACGCTAGCTGTGAGCGCCACGAGGGCGTCCTCTGCGGAGGTACCTGCAGACTTTGGGAGAAGGGTGGGGGCGCAGAGTGGCTCCCATGGGTATTTAGGCTCTGGGAACTTCATGGCCCTAAGGGCAGGTATCGAGGATTCTGGGGTAGGAGTTGCAGGTGCCTGGCCCACTTGGGAGGGAGCTGGATGCACAGGAGCAGACCAGCTCCAGGCAGCCCGTGGTGGCACGTGATGCCAGTGTGTGAAGAGTACGGGTGTCAGCCCGTGCGTGGCTCTGCCCCAGGCTTTGGCCGCTGCCGATGTGGATTGTGTCACTGTTACGCCAACCACACGGGCAGAGCGTGCGAGTGCAGTGGGGACACGGACCGCTGTATCAGTCCCGACGGCAATCTCTGCAGTGGGCACGGACGCTGCCAGTGCAACCGCTGCCAGTGCTCGGACGGCCACTTCGGCGCCCTCTGTGAGCAGTGCCCAGGCTGTGAGACGTCCTGCGAGAGATACAGGTGAGGCCTCGGGCCCGGCAGCCTGGGAGCAGGGGCGCAGCGGGGCTTGCTGAGCCACTCCCACCGGCCCACTCCTTCCTGCCGGGTAGCGTGGGTGACAGCTGCCCAGCTGGTAACCTCTTGGTGTCCACCGGACAGGGACTGTGCGGAGTGTGGGGCCTTTGGGACTGGTCCCCTGGCCCTCAACTGCAGCAGGGCTTGTGCCTCTGCCAACGTGACTCTGACTTTGGCCCCTATTCTGGATGATGGCTGGTGCAAAGAGAGGACCCTGGACAACCAGCTGTTCTTCTTCCTGGTGGAGGAGGAAGCCGAAGACAAGGTCGTGCTGAGAGTGAGACCCCAAGAGAGTAAGTGGGCAGGGATGCCGTGGACATGCCGAAGGGAGCCCTGGAAGTTTGACGGGTAGGGCCTCAGAACTCTGGGGCTGGGGAGGTGGAGAGAATGGGAAGCCAGGCTAGGGGCTGAAGTAGAGCAGTGAGTCCAGGCAAAAGTGGAGGCGATGGGAGACTTAGAGGAGACTTGGCCACTGAGGATAACCTTGGCCACTGCCGGGTTCCCTTTGTTTTCAATGACAGGCAGGGACGGGGAGGCTGGACACACTGTGGGCAACTGTCCACCAATCCGCATGCCCCGCTGTGTTGTTTCTTGTCCGTAGGAGTAGATCACACCCAGGCCATTGTGCTGGGCTGCATGGGGGGCATCGTGGCAGTGGGCCTGGGGATAGTCCTGGCTTACCGGCTTTCTGTGGAAATCTACGATCGCCGAGAATACAGGCGCTTTGAGAAGGAGCGGCAGCAGCTCAACTGGAAGCAGGTGGGGAGACTGCCTTGTACCCTACTGGGCTCTCCCTGGGTAGGACCTCTTTGCGCTCTGCTTCCCATCCCACCCTCAGCCCTGACTCCTTCCACCTAGGCTATCCCCCTCACCTCTGTCTGTGCCTCCTCTGCCCCACCCCCTGCTAACGTCCATCAGCTCTTGGGGCGCTGCTCAAGCTCGAGGTTGGCCTCAGGGTTAGGTAAAGAAGACCTGGGACTTTTCCTCATCGTTTCCAACCTCGCCCCCCAGGACAGCAATCCTCTCTACAGAAGTGCCATCACGACCACGGTCAACCCCCACTTTCAGGAGGCAAGGAGTCCCCTTCTCTGAAGCGGGGGGAGGAACACTCCTCCCAGGGCTCTTCTTTCTTCTCAGCAGCCTGGTAGGGGACTACTGAGGAATGGTCACCACCTACTTCATTCTGACACCCGAGGGCTGCCTACCCCCGCAGCCTCGCTTCCCTACCTCACGAGTGGCGGTCAGCCCCTGCGCCCCCGTATACAATAAAGACTCTTACCTCAGAGCATAGCGGTCATCTTGCTTTACCCACGGCCAGAGCAGCCTGTGCAGCCTGGGCCTCGGTCCTCCCCCCAGCACCTGAGGGTGGGAGGCTGGCTCTAACCCGACGTGCAGGACACGCAGGAAGCGGCCGCTGGGGGTGGGCTGTTCAATCCCCAGGCTCTGCTGATGCAGAAGGGCTGCAGAGCCACACGCTGGTACCCTAACCTCATTCTGTTCTGGCGTGCGTGTTTTGTTTTTCTTATTCGGAAGTGATATCCTGTTTTTACTTCCACTTGTTGCTCTTCTGTGGAGGGGAGTTTTAAACGGTGGTTTCCAGGATGCTGGACGTTTGGGGTGGTTATATTTGGGGGGAAAACGGAAAACCGCTTTGGCCCCAAAGAAGCAGCTTTCCCAAAAAAAGAGATAGTATGTAGAAAAGCCCCATTTTCTTTTTATTTAAATATCCTAAATATATCACGAAGGAACATACACTGCACTTTAATGGTAAAAAGATACAAGTTTATAACATCTTATAAAAACTACCATTTAAAAGTGATCTTGTTCATTTGATATTCCCCTCCCCCCATAGCAAAATAAGTATATTAAAAAAAAAGAAAGAGAGAGAGGGAGGGAGAGGGCAGAGAGGAAGAGTTGGAAGGGATTAAGATAAAAGCCCCAGGACTGCAGCAGAGGCAAAGAGCGTCTGGGGAGAGGGTTAGAAGTTGTGGCGGGACCCCCCACATCTCATTTAACCCTCCAATGTCAAGCCATAGGGCACAATCAGTAGCTATGTGATGAAAGAGGCTGTTGGGGGGGCGGACGGAGAAGAATTGGGGTGCAGGGAAGGGCAGGGCTGGTAGGGCCCCGTACAAGGGCCCCCCCAGAACTGGTGCTCTTTCCCAGGTCCCCAAATTCCACGTCCTGGTCTCTGAGAGCCTGCCCTAGCTCCCTTTCCCTTCACTCCAAATGCACCTGAGGCATCTGTCCAGTGCTAGACCCCACCAGCTGAGGAGGGCTGGGGCGTTGGGCCCAGAAGCCTCTGCAGCGCTCTTCGTCTGTGGTTTCCCTAGGGCATAAGTGGGGCTTCTGGGCCCTCTGGGAGGCTGAATCACTCCTTTCACCTCTTTGCTCCTCTCTCCTCACACATCCTTGGCCCCAGAACCTCAGCACCTGGACAACTGAACTAAGCACCTACCTGCTCCTGAGTTGCCTCCACACCCAATCCTTGGCAGGGGTGCTTCCAGTATGGCTCTTTCCACATCTGCTCACAAATTCCCTCTCCCTCCCACCCCGGCAGGAGGCTGAGGCTGTGGGGGGCCACGGCACACTGTGACCTAAGCACACATCCGCACACGTAGGGGCATAGGTCACTCAGGGGATTCTCGCCACACACACTCCGATCCTAAACAGATTAGCTGCAAGTGGCAGGGAATGAAGCCTCCTATTTTCAAAAGTGCTCGTGGGAGAGGTTTTCTAAATGTAGCTTCCTTCCAGGAATATATTCCCAGAAGTAAATGATAAATTCCAGCCCCAGCAGAGGTCTCTAACAGGCAAGGGGCTCGCTCACACACGGGAAGATACCCGGCTTGCAGGGACCACAGGGCAGCTTCAGGGACTGAGGTCTAGGCCCTGGACCATAGCAAATGCAGGTGCCAGCATAAAACTATAGGAGCACAGGCAGCAAACACTGCCCAGTGTCTCTGCCAAAGGACCTCAGGAGCCATCGGAGCAAGTCTGAAGGGTGCCATACCTTTCTTTCCCCGAAATCCTCACATTTCAGAGGTACAGAGCCCCCCACCCCCCTCCCGCACACCTGACAGCCAGGAGCTTTCTGCTGCTGTTCCTACATCTAGGAAATGAAGTTACACTGCCTGGAGCTGCCATCTTAGATCCCCACTGACAGCGTGGTCAGGTTCACCAAGCCTCCATGATTATTCCATGATTACTCCCCTCTACAGGTCAGGGCAGGCCACAGTGGGGGCCAAACCCCAGAACCTTCCACAGCAGGCAGAGGATTTTTTATTTCACATTAGAAAATTCATGTTTACAAGCTTTGACTTGAGTTAAACACCCTAACCAGCCTGCTGAATCAACCCCCCAAAAACCTCTCCAAAACAAAGCCCTTCACTCCCCTAAATCAAGTTCCTCAGCTGGGACCTCAAGCACCCTCAGATTTGGTGGTGGTGGTGGTGGGGGCTGTTTCATGCTCATCCTCCCCTGAGTTGAGGGCCAGAGAAGGGTTTGGCTCAATAATGTGCCATCTCCAAGCATACAAACACAAGCACACATTTCAATGAACACACTCAAGCGTGTGCACGCACACACACACACACACGCACACACACGCACACACACACACCCCTGATCACTTTTTTGGGGGTGGATAGGGTGGTGGTGTTGGGGCAGAGAGGAGCAAAGAGTACGATTAAGAATAAAACCTACAATAGGTTTCTTCCTCAGTCCTTTCTCTGCAGCACCCCCTCCCCCCAATTCTTTGTTGGGTAGGGATGGCCATTAAGAAGGAAGCGAAGATCTTATTCTTTGGGACCAAAGGCCACACCCCTATCTCCTACCTGAATACAGTGATAGGACTTGGGCAGGGAGAGCAGCTCACACTGCTCAACAGTCATGTCAGGGGACACCAAACTCCTTTGTTTCTTGAACAGTTGTTGCTCAACTTGGGACTAGTCTCGGGTTGTTCCTAAGAGGGCACAAGGAGAGAGAACCCCCTTTGGTATCCATGACTACCTGCTCAAAACCTCTGTCTGGCTCAGGAGTCAACGGCAGCGAGGTAGCCACATGCTATCTCCAAGATGGAGTGCCCAAAGAGGGCATGGAAGGGCTCCGTGGGCCGCTCTCACCCAAGTTCCCTCCACAAGGCACTTGAGCTGACCCCATCAGGTACCAGGGTGGCCTGGGCCGTTGCAACAGCCGTGGGCACAGCTCTCGCTCTTCCCTGGAGGAAGGAAGAGGTACCTGCCCACTCTAGTTGTACCCAGCCCTTGTCTGCTCCTCCCGCCATTCTTCCTTCTGTCCCTACAGTGTATAAGGAGACCAAGGTAAACTCAGTTGCCATCCCTGATCCTCCTCTCCTTCAAACAGAAGGTGAGGTGCAGGGCTGTGGAACACTGAGGATCAACTGCAACTAAAAACTCAATTCTGGGGAGGGCTGGGCCAGCCATTGTCCCTGCTTTAACCAGGGCTCTATGCCTCCATATTACCTGTATCCACAGTGTAGCTGCTAAAATTGCTTTTGAATAAACAAAAACAAGAACAGAACAAACAAACAAATCCCTCTCCCCAATCCTTTCCATTTCAGCTGCCAGCTGGAGTCCAAGGTTGTGGGAGCCACACCAGTCTTGGTCCTGTACCTTCAGTCCCCACCTATAACCTCAGCCAAGGGTCCAGGGACTAGCTTCCCTACCCAGGAATGCTGTAGGAACTTCCCCGAGATACTCATAGTCTCAGATTATTTACAGAGCTGAGGCTCTGAGGCCGCTGTCCCCTGATGCACTCTTCTGGTCTCCTGGGTCCACTCCTCCAGGAGGGGGACAGGTACAGACGGGGTGGTGGTGGGACCATCAGACCAGAGGGGGTGCGCTCTTCGGTAAATTCTTCTGATCACTCCCACCACCCAGGGCCCCTTGCGCCTATAGAGAAAACTGCCCGTCGGAAGTCTTGGACTGGCACCCTTGGCACATCCGTTTGTGTCTGAGTAATCGATCTGTCCGAGAGAAACACTGAGAAGAAAGGAAGGATTAAGTGTTGAGAGGAGAACCTCAGCTACCTGTTGGCTAGCTCTGCCTTCCCCACACAGGAGGCACACATCCCGTTCCACATGCCCTCAGCAAGTGCACAGATGGCAGGAGCACACAGTGGTTAAGAGCGCAGGCTCCAGGGCGCCTGGGTGGCTCAGTCGTTAAGCGTCTGCCTTCGGCTCAGGTCATGATCCCAGGGTCCTGGGATCGAGCCCCGCATCGGGCTCCCTGCTCCGCGGGAAGCCTGCTTCTCCCTCTCCCACTCCCCCTGCTTGTGTTCCCTCTCTCGCTGTGTCTCTCTCTGTGTCAAATAAATAAATAAAATCTTTAAGAAAAAAAAAAAAAGAGCGCAGGCTCTGAAGTCGGGAGTCCTGGCTCTAGCACTCAGTGGCTGTGCAACCTTGGACACGGTATCTGACAGCACTCAATCTGTACACTCATCTGTAACGGGGCTAAAAGTACCTACTCACAGAAGGGCTGTGTCATTCATCCAATATTTATTGAGTGTCTGTCTCAAGGCAGGTACAGTTCTTGGGGCTGAGGATAGAGTGGAGAACCAGAGGGGCAAAATCTCTGCCTCATGGAGCGTTCATTCTAGTGTTTTGAGATTCAGTGTAAGCGGGTGGAACAAAGCATCCAGGAAATGTTAGTTGTTATCATTTCTCGTCTTTTGTTCTCGTCTTGTTTTGGTCTAGCTCTTACATTCTCATCAAGTCAGACACTGACCCCCCGGGCAGAGATTGTCTTTCTTCTTCCAGGTGCACCAGCTCTGAGTTAGACTGAATCCTGCCTCTGCCCTCCATCTGCTGTGTCCTTAGGACACTTAACCTCTTTGAATCTCAATTTCCCCAAATGTGAAATGACGACAACACAGCTCTTTACGGAATTAACATGAGAATTAAAAAGATAATCTATGTTAAATATGCTCTCACAGTGCCTGGCACAGAATAAGTACACAAGAAATGCTACTGTTACTACAATTATTCTCATGGCCCCTCCCATAAACAGCTGCATAAGGCCAGAGAGCAACACCTCACCCCGAGGCACTAACTCTACCATGGCCAGGAATTCGATGTGGCCCCTTGTTGGGAAGGGGATGGGGCTGGCCCTGGTTCTTGGTGAAGGAAAAGTTTGTTGTGTGGGGTAGACGGGTGACACGTGAGCTTACCTGATGACACCGTTCACACTGGTAGGGCTTTTCGCCACTGTGCACACGCTTGTGACGCTCCAGGTGGTACTTCTGGATGAAGCGCATATCACATATATCACACTCAAATGGCTTCTCACCTGGCCCAAGTGGAGAGAGAAGTTAGTATCAGGAGGTACACAAGGTAGGGACTTCATTCCAGGTATTTTCCCAGAAATTTTTAATTTTTAGCAATGTACGGACACCTAATGAGGAAAGGTCCCCAAAGCTGTCGGTCTCTGACACTAGATACAGAGCCACAAAATCTTTCTAGCTAATTCACTTATCTTCTTCCTCTATTTCTGATACTCGGCCCCTAAAACAAACCCAATAAGAGCTACACACACACAACTACAGACTACTGAATATGAGCAAGAGACTTACCAGTATGAATAAGGATGTGCCTCTTGAGGTGGTAACTGCTCCTAAAGGCTCCAAAGCAGTGTTCACAAATAAAATTTTTGGGAATCTTTACTTGAAAAGAACCATTTTGTTCCACCACCACCACCTAGGGGCAACAATCAGGCATGTCATAAGGCTATCCCTCAGCCACCTTTTTGTCCCCATTCTACTCTGGGTCAATTTCCAGTTGCTGGACAAAGTAATCTTTCTGATGTTGTCATCTCCCCCATTCCCTAGAGTTAAGAGACCCTCTGAGGAAGGAGGTGGGCATGGGTAAACTGTCTGCCCCATCAAACCCAACACCTCTGAATGTGACCTGAGGTCTGCCTGCCCCTTTGCCACAGGATCCCATGCTTCCCTGGCCCTCCTTCCTTTACCAAGGATGTTCTGGAGAGGGCAGAGATCAAAGACCAAAGTGGCCTATGGAGGAAATAAGAGTGACACACTCATTGGCTATGAGTGACCAAAACATCTAGGGAAAACTCCAGGTTGAGCCACAGACGAAAGAAAAGGAATTACCCCATTACCAAACGGTACCAGTTTGGGGATTACCCCATTACCTGCCTTTTTAACAGTCTTCTTTGAATGAGAGGCCTCAGCCAAGCTGTCATCATCTTTGCGACTCCGGGACTTATCGCTGTCTTTTCGGTGGCCCTTTAAAAATAAATCAAAGCTAAACTCACAGTCTATTTCCCCACACAAGACAGGAAACCAAATGCTGTGCTGCAGACTTCTTTTTTTTTTTTTTTTTAAAGATTTTATTCATTTATTTGAGAGAGAATGAGATAGAGAGAGCATGAGAGGGGGGAGGGTCAGCGGGAGAAGCAGACTCCCCGCCGAGCAGGGAGCCCGATGCGGGACTCGATCCCGGGACTCCAGGATCATGACCTGAGCCGAAGGCAGTCGCTTAACCAACTGAGCCACCCAGGCGCCCCCTGCAGACAACTTCTAAATGACAGTAACCACCTGCCCCAAAGGTTTAGAGAAGGTACTCATCCATTTCCTCTCCAAGTACTATGGTGTTAAGGGGTTATAGGTAAAGTCCTTCCTTAGCTCTCTAAAATACCCACATTCATTCATTCCCCAGCTGGATCCCTTTTCCCCACTTCCCTAAACAGAAGCACTGAGGAATCAAAGCTTGGCATCTCCTGGCAGAGAGCTTGGGCCACCCGACCCCCAGGTGCCACAACGGACTCAAACGCTGTACCTGACTTGAGCACCTCAGCACATCAGGGCTACCTGCCCGCTCTCCATTCTCGGCCTGCTTGCTGGCAATCTGGCTCAGCATCATCTTCTTGCTGGCTGCAGTGGGAACCAAACTCACACCTGCTAGGCCTTCACAAGCCAGGAGACTTGCCTAAGTTGAAAGGAGATGAGGTGTCAGGTCACCTGGCAGGGCAGGGCAAAAACAGGCTGCCATCTTCTAGAGAACTACCTTTCACACCCAGCCACAAACAAACTGCTTCTCTAGGGAGTGTCCCTCTCTACTGCAAAACTCTGCTTCCTTCAAGAGTCCTCCCTAACTCACCTCACCAGGAACAAGTTACTTGTTATACATCAGCATTTAAATACAAATCAAGTGAATAACCAAGTATTATTGACACTTTTGTCATTAGCAATGTGCTAGGACCTGTTACCAGGTACTTGGCCTCGTGAATGGGCAGGAGGGTCTGCCCTGCTGAGCACTGAAATGGGAGATTTCTAGCAGAATTTCCTCCTTCCTCTCTCACCAGCAGGTTCAGAGGCCACTTATGATTGGCAGACATCACTGGTGCCAAATATATATTCTATCAGGTCCCAAAAGCATGTTTATCAGCAAAACTAAGTTATTTCTCCCTTTAGATTTTAAATTCCCTAGGTGTTGCAATTTTAACAGATATAAAAATTAAGTCACTTGGAAGGATTTTAGGGTTGAGTATCACTTTCTCTTGACCTCCAAGGCCATTTATTTGTGTGCAAATCCATATATTTCACATATTCTCTACTCTATGCATAGTTTAAAAAAATTACTTAAACAAGGAATGATTAAAAAAATGTCCTCTTTTCATGGCTACATTCTTCAAACTGACTTTGTTTAGCCAGCACTAGAAAATATACTTTTCTTACTGAAAAAACTTTTTTTTTTTTGAAGAAACACTTTAAAGAAATAGTTGATCAGCAAACTTCCACAAGTGATTTACTAAAAAAATTCCTTTTAAAAATACTCTCTTAAAAAAAGAAATTCCTTTTAGTATATCCTGGGACTCCTTCTTTTCTTTCTCCTTCAAGGACTTTGGACAGAAAGGTCTAGAGGTGGAAAGCTTAGCTCTGCTGTTTGTACTGTATAATCTTGGGCAAATTACTCCACCTCTTCAGGCCTCAGTTTCCTTAAATGCAAAACGTTTATGAGAGTATCTACTCTCACAGGGTTGATGAGAATAAAACTAAGATACAAATGCCTAGCAGTGCCCAGTACAAAGTTAGTGATTAGTGAGAGGCAGTTTCTCAGAACAAGAGTGAACATGATGCCGTGAAGTGGGTTGCAAACAAAGGAAGAAGAAACCGAGGGCTCCTAATCTGCAAGGAAAGAAGGAAGCCATGCATGCAGCTGGAAGAAAGCCAATTAAACTCTAATCAGGCTGCCATCCTGGTGAGACTGGTACAGGAGGGTCCCTGCAAGAAAGCTGGGAGAAGCTCTGGGGATGCCCGCACATGGCTTTGCTATCCACACTTACAGCAACCTAACAGATCATCCTGTCTCTCCATTCCATCCTCTCCCCTCACAATGACAATTACCTTCTAAATACACTGATCTGATGTCACTCTGCTGCTTAACATTCTTCAGAGAGTTCCCATTCGTTCAGAATAAAGTCTAATTCCTTAGCAAGGCATAAAAGGCCCTTGGGTTATACTCTTAACTTCTCCAGGAAACAACTCCCTCACCCTAAACTTTTCCCTCTATCACTACATACCCTATCCCCCTAACCCATTTAAGCCCCTTCCTCCTTAACTAGCAAACTGTCTGCAGTACTCCTAACCTCATCACATTCTCCCATGCCTCTAAGCCTCTGCCCATGCAGTTCTTCTCCTTGTCTGAATGTCCTGTTCTGCTTGTTTGTCTAGCAAAATCCTATGCATTCTTCAAGCTTCACCTGCTTTCTTCCATCCAGAGGTACCCTTCTCTCTCCTCTGCAGTGTACATACCTCTATTATTGCATGTTCCTTCAATCAACGGATTCATTGAGTCTCTGCTGCTAATCAACCACTATGCAAGGTATTGTGAATATAAAGGTAAATAATAGACTGTCTCTCCATTTCCCCCCACCCCAACCCAACTATCCTGGAAGCTTGCTGGGGATGGGGACAATCTTACTCATCTTTGTATCCCCAGCATAATGCCTTGCATGAAACAGGAGCTCAATTAATTCCTGTTGAAAAAAAAAAATGAAGCATTCACCAGACTGTTCATTCCCTCATGCCCCTCAGCACTTAACGTACCAAGTGTAAACTGAGTAATTGTTTCACAAATGTCCCATCAGTGCCTGTGATGCAGAATAGCCTACCTCCTTCATTTGACTGGAAGCTCCCTGAAGGCAGGGGCTGTGGCCTGTCTCCTTTCCTTCCTCTAGATCTCCCCCTGGTGCTTAATACAGAGCTTGGCTCACTGGGTTGGTCAATATGTTGACTAAGGCAGCATTCAAGAGTGAAACTGCAAACACGTTTCCCAGTGATCTTGAAGGAGGAGGATTCTATAGCTTTTTACCTGAGCCATGCTGATTTCTCACTTAATGCAACCCAAAAGTTCAGGAGTTTCTTGATCCACCTTTCCTAAGACACTGTTGTTTGAAGAACTGTCACCAAATCACTGTAACAACTCCTTTGTGTCCCTTCCGTCCTGCTGCCATATTGAACTGCCTTTGTCTTCAAATAGATCTTAGTGTCCTCCAAAGGGAAGATAGATGTTCCAAGAATCCCTGGACTCTGCCTGGCCTATGATCTGAAGAAAAAGTCTGCTGGTGTTCGTTTTCCAACCGAATCCTCTCGTTGAAGTTCACGATCTGTTTCAGAAACCTGAAACCAGGAAAGGAGATGGGGCTGTTAGGTGCAACATTCTCAGGCCATTCGACCTGCAGTAGGCTGAACTTTTTTTTTTTTTTGGTGGGCGCTCTCTGTGAACCTCAGGAAGAGGGCATTAGTTAAGCAGAGTTTTCTTTCTAGGTCAGAAGAAACTGGTCTCCAGGGCAAAGAGGAGCTGCCAACGGGAGTAAAAGTAACTGGGGCCTCTCATGGAATAACTGCAACAGGCCAACTGCTCGGATTTGCCATCTTACGAATAGAAGAAGGGGGCGGAGGCCCTCCCGGGCTTTTGTGCCGAGTGGGCCGGGCCGCGAAGCTAGCACTCTATTAAGGAGGCCAGAACTGGGGTGGAGAAAAGCTCAGAGGCTATCGCTGGACGCCTGAGTAGCAAGTCAGCAACCGGACTGGCAGTGTGCGCTGGGCCGGCCCACACGTGCGCGTTCTCCGAGTCCGCCCGAAGGTACGGAAACTCGCTGCGGAGGAAGGCGGGCAGGCGGAGGCCGGCGCTCCGCGTTCCCTCCCTCCTCCGCCAGCCAGCCAGCCAGCCAGCCAGCCGCAGCGCCCCGCCGCACGGAGCCGGAGGAGAGCACCGAGGAGCGCGCGAGGTGCGTGCTCGCGCCCGCGTCCCCGCCAAGCAAGCCCCCCTCCGCCCGACTAATAACGCGGCCGGACTGGCGGGCGGGGGGCGGTGCGCGCGCGCGCGCGCGGCCCCTTCCCCTCCCCGGCGAGCGCCCTCCCTTCGCCACGCGCCCCTCCTCCCTTCCCCTCCCCCTTCCCGCGCGGCGCCCCACGGCCTGCGAGCAGCTGAGGCGCTGCCGCCTGCCCGGAGGACGCTGCGTTCCCTGAGGCGTGCTCCTACCTGCCAGGCGCGGCCTCCCGCTGTCTCCCCCACCGCGCGGCGCCTCCTCCAGGCCCCAGCACACCGTGCCAACCCCGTGGCCGCCGCTGCCCGGCCGGGACCGAGGCAAGTTTACAAACACCAACCCGGGGCCCGTTTCCCCGGAAGCACTTCCCCCTCCCCTCGTCCTCTCAGCCGAGCAGCAATATCCACTTCCGGGCTCGGAGCCTGGACCGGCGAGAGCAGCCAGAAAGGGGGTGAGGCTGAGGACGCTGGGAGGGGGTGCAGCTGGTGAGTGGGCGGTGCCGGCGCGCGGAAGGACGGGAAGGGGGCGGACCGGCGGTACGACGCGTGCGCCGTGGTACAGGCGCGCCCCGGCGGCCATCTTGGCTGAGGGCAGGAACGAAGACCCTGAAGTGACGTGCGCTGGGTGCTAGGTTTTGCTAGGTGGGCTGGTTGAGGCTCCTTGAAAAAACGCCATCAGTCTCCCTTCGCGGACGTTCTCCCTGTCGCATCTGAGCCTGCAGCCCCAAGTAGAGCCTGAATAGTTCGTACCCAGCCTTTTCACGTAACTCAGCCGAGGTCCTCTTTATCTGAAAGTTTTCTATCAGGCCCAGCTCTGCAGATTCTGGGGCCGCCCAGTCAGCTGGGAGAAGAGTTAACTTTCTTGAAACGCTTCTTCCGTGTACACTCAATCCGGGCGCGTCCCGAGGCCGGTCTGGTTAACTTGTAGCGCTTACCCCTTCATTCCAGACTTTCCAGCGTCTGACATTGGCCTTCTCGCCTGGAAAAAGCCATAGGACTCCCCTCGGCAGAAGACTAGTTTCATTAGCGATGTAGGGTGGCCCCCGGGTCCAGCGTTAAAAAATGGAAACTTGAACTTTTCTTTAGAATCTCCCAATCTGAGCTATTAGGGAGAGGTTCCGCTAAAGATGGATTATGCCAAGTGTTCTTAATGGAAGGAAATGTCAGTCCATTTATGTCTCAGCTTCTGCTGTAGGTGCTGTCAGGTTGTGAGTTTAAGAGGATTGAGATGCCAAAAGAAAAAAATACTTATTTATGGAAAAGAGGGATTCCCAACTACTCTTTGTACACGGGTTTCATTTCCCTGAGCACTTTATGTTTTGAGCCATTGACAGCAAATCTTTGTGCTCTTAGACTCATGATAAAATTGAGATAAAAATAGAGAAACGTTATTAGAAATAAGTCTTTAATTAAAAAAAAATTATCTCATACTTATCTTGACAAGTCCGCACATACATAAGAATAAAAGGCGAAAGTGTTAAGTTTCCTTTTTCTACTATCCAATGCTCCTGAAGATAGTCACTTTTATCAGTTTGGCAAATATACTTCCAGACTTTTTTCTATGTTCATACAATTTTTTTTTTCATCCAGAGTATATTTATTGAGCAACTACAGTGCTGGACACTAGTGTTACATTGTAGATATCTAAGTTCTTTAACATTTTAACAATTGTTACATAATATTCTAACTTATATTTGTACTTTGATTTGTCTAGACTCATCCTGATGAACATTTAGGTTAGTTCCATTATTTTTTTAAATAAACAATGCCATAAGGAACATCTTCCTCTAGTCATCCTTTTGCATTTATAGATTATTTATAGATAGAATATGTGCATTAAAAAAATTTTTTTAAGATTTTATTTATTTGACAGAGACACAGCGAGAGAGGTGCCCCTAAAATTTTTTTTTTAATTTTTTTAAAAATTTATTTATTGTGAAAGTCAGAGAGAGAGGCAGAGGCAGAGGGAGAGAAGCAGGCTCCCCGCCTAGCAGGGAGCCCGATGAGGGGCTCGACCCCAGGACCCTGGGATCACGACCTGAGCCGAAGGCAGACGCTTAACCATCTGAGCCACCCAGGTGCCACCCTAAAATTTTTTTTAAAAAGATTTTCTCTATTTATTTGAGAGAGAGAGAGCACAAGCAGGGGGAGTGGCAGAGGGAGAGGGAGAAGCAGGCTCCCAGCTGAGCAGGGAGCCCAATGTGGGGCTTGATCCCAGGACCCTGGGAAATTGACCTGAGTGAAGGCCAACTTTCAATGGACTGAGCCACCCAGGCGCCCCTGTGCATTTTAAATTTTAATCAATTCTGTGAAATTGAATTTCAGTTTGTAACAATTTACATGCTCACTCAGAACCATGTGTCAATGTCCCCATTTCCTATAACATAGCGATACTGGATACTATGAATTTTTAGTGCAGTTGCCAATTTGATAGACGAAAAATAGTAATTTCATTGTTTAAATTTGCATGTCACCGGTAGTAGAGTTGAGCAACTTCTGTTGCGTCTTCTCTAAGTTATATTAACTTTTTATTTGTCATATGCATTTAAAGTACTTTCTCTTAGCTTTTCGTTTATCTTACAGCCTTTTTTGGGGGGGCAATTTATGCTTTACAGGAAATTATTTGAAATATTCCTATCAAAAATAGGAATAAGGGGTGCCTGGGTGGCTCAGGCTGTTAAGCGTCTGCCTTTGGCTCAGGTCATGATCTCAGGGTCCTGGGATTGAGCCCTGCATCGGGCTCCTTGCTCAGCAGAGAGCCTGCTTCTCCCTCTCCCTCTGCTTCCCTGCTGCTCCCCCTGCTTGTGCTCTCTCTCTCTCTCTCTCTCTCTCACTATCTCTCTCTCTGTGCCAAATAAATAAATAAAATCTTAAAAAAAATAGGAATAAGACAGGAATGTTTACCATCAAAGCTAACATTGTACTGGAGCTCCTGGCCATTGAAAAGTCTCACTATTTTCATATGATACATTCATCAAGAAAGAGAATTGACTGACAAAATCCTAAAACTAGTGAGTTCAGCAGTATGGCCAGATGGGAGATTAACAAACAAAAATTGTATACATAAAATATAAGAACCACCAACCGTAAAAATGTGATGAAATAAATAATCTCACAATAAGAATATTATACTTCTTGAAATAAATTTGACAGGAAACTGCAAGTCATATATTAAGAAAATCAGACTATTTTAGTGAAAGACAAAAAGGTCTTGGTTAAATGGGGAGTTTTAGCAAGTTCATGAATAGAAAGACTTAATTTTGTAGAGACATAAGTTTTTGCTATCGATTAAGGTAAGTTCTAATTAAAACGGGACTTTGCATGGAATTTAACCTGATTTTAAAATTTTCATGGAAAAGGGTGCTTGTGTGGCTCAGTGAGTTAAGCGTCTGCCTTTGGCTTAGGTCATGATCCCAGGGTCCTTGGATCGAGTCCCATGGTTGGTCTGGTCAGGTTCCTTGCTCACCGGGGAGTCTGCTTCTCCCTCCGCTCTTCCTCCCCGCATGTGCTCTCTCTCAAATAAATAAATAAATAATCTTTAAAAATTTAGAATAAAATAAAATTTTTACGGAAAAGAATAATTGCAAGGAGAGCAAAAATCACTGTGGAAAACACAGAGTGGGTAAAATAATAAGGGGTGGGGTAAAGCCATGAGTTATTTTTAACCACTTTAATGGTGTCTTTCTTTACACAGAATTTTAAAAGTTTTACGTAGTCAAGTCTGCCTGTGGCTTTTGGGTTTTTGTGACGCTACCTCAAGATTATAAAAATATTTCCCTGTAGTTCCTTTTTTTTTTTTTTTTAAGATTTTATTTATTTATTTGACAGAGAGACAGGGAGAGAGGGAATACAAACAGGGGGAGTGGGAGAGGGAGAAGCAGACTCCCGGCTGAGCGGGGAACCTGATATGGGGCTCGATCCCAGGACCTTGGGATCATGACCTGAGCCAAAGGCAGATGCTTAAGGACTGAGCACCCAGGCGCCCCCCTGTAGTTCCTTTTGACATTCTTATAGTTGTATATTTTCTGGTTATGTCTTTATCTTAGCTGCAGTTTATTTTTGTGTATGGTGAGAGGTAGTGAGAAATGCCAGACTTAAAAGTAACCAATAGCGTAGTGGGAGAGGAACTAGCCTAGAATTCAGAAAATCAGAGATCTAGGCTTGTTCTCATGTCACCTGTGTAATCTTGGACAAATTAACTGGACTGAGAGTCCTCATCTTGAAAACCAGGGTGAATAAATAAATACCTTTCAGGCTAATTTCCAGCACAATGTGAGGATCAAATGAGGTCATAGATGAGAAGGTTTTGAGAAAGAAAAAACCCTTTGCAAGTCTTCTAAGATATCATTAATACAGATTTTTGGTCTATGCAATCAAATGTAAGTGGAATGCAGCATTATTTTTCAGTCCTGGAAATAGTTGGTTGATTCACCCAGATGTTCATTGAGTGCCTTTGTGCAAGACCTTGGGGGAAGGGAGAGGAGAGTGGGGAGGATGAAAACTAACATTTTTTTGAGTACCTCTTTTGTATTTAGTGCTTTCCTTAAAGATAAGATTTTAACCCGCAGGAATTTACAATCAGAAAGGGGAGAAAACACTGTACACATAAGGAGAATTGGTGCCTTTATGGATGTGGGTATTGAGTCTGTGGGATTTGTGACCATGTAGATAGTACGGAGGTCAGTGTTGTCATTTTCTAACAATAAGCCTGGCCAAAAGTGCTTTAAAGAAGCAACTGCCTTGGGGCGCCTGGGTGGCTCAGTCATTAAGTGTCTGCCTTCGGCTCAAGTCATGATCCCAGCGTCCTGGGATCGAGTCCCACATCGGGCTCCCTGCTTGGCAGGAAGCCTGCTTCTCCCTCTCCCACTCCCCCTGCTTGTGTTCCCTTTCTCGCTGTGTCTCTCTCTGTCAAATAAATAAAATCTTAAAAAAAAAAAAAAAAAAAGCGACTGCCCTGATCGTTTTTGTCTACAGGCAGGCCTCCTCCTGTGTGACCTTCCCTAACTTCTTTGGCACAGCCCTTCCCTCAGGCCCACCCTATCAGTTATTCAAATAGTACTGTAATGATTACGGATGAGTCTTTTCCTGTACCAGCTCTCTATCGCTTAAGTCCTGAATGTTGTCTCTTTGAAGGCTGCCCTGAGCCAACTGAGCAGAATTAACCAGCCCTGCCTTTCCTTGTGAGCATTCCACTCTTTTGTGGCAAGTGCGTCTGCCCACGTCCCTACTGGCCTGTTAGCTGGAGCGCACAGGGCAGACATCCTCCCCCCCGCCCCCCCGGGTAGTGCCAGTGCCAGGGATAGATACTGAGTCAGTGTTTGCTGAACTAGCTGAACCCGTACCTCTCTCTGAGAGC